GGAGGAGAAAAGAAGGAGGGGAACGTATTGAGATAAGAAGTGGGGGGGGGGTTGAATGAGATAATGCCCCGGCGTTACTACATCAGAGTCCGTGTCGCTCATGCGCACACGCACAGCCGTCGCCGTGGGAAACAAGCCTCGGCCTTCACTTCCTGCCTTCCCCTCCTTCGTTGCTATCTCTCCCTTCATTTTCCTCTCTCATCAGAAAAAAAAGGGGAGTTGAGAGCGAAGGAGAAGGGAGGAGGAGTGGAAAGTCTTTCCCCTCAAAGCGCTCGCCTTTCTGTCTGTGATTACCTGAGAGACGGATGGAGGGATGGAGGGCAGTCAATTGGCTCCCATGAACACCCAATTCTGCACTCCTGAAGAAGACGTGAGTGTTTTAAAGTAAGAAAGGAGCTCTTTTGTGCGGCGCCCCTCTTCTTTTCTTTTGAGTGTAATGCTGCTGTACCTGACAGTGGCGCTGCCCCGGGTAAAGGCAGAAATCTCTGCCTCCATTGTCACCTGTTCCTCTAATCATTTTCCGCCCTTCATGCCACAATGGAAGAGGGCGATAACGATAACGAGGTGAAGCTAATACAGAGCGGCGGCGGGGCCCCCGAACACAATGTTCAGATGTCTTCACTCGTTTGCTCACACACACACACTTATACCTTTACACACTCCTTAATGCAGAAACACACGCACACACTTTTAGTCTTTTTTCTTTAGTCAGTCACGCGCAGATGTTTGAGCCATATCATTCAGCTGTCAAATCACCCCTCACATTACACAGCTACACACTTTCACAGTTTCATCGTCGAGCATAATAACTGAAGAATGGCAGTGTGTCGTGTTTTTTTCTCTGCTTTGTTGGAAGTGGTGTAGTTGGTGGCTGCTGGTTTGAATCCTGGTATAGGGTGTCAAAAATATATGAGTGGAAATGAGGCTGTTTCTCCTCTCTACCCTGAAGATTTTACATTATTTGGGTCTAATTTTTCCACGTTTTCACCATCATTCAAACTTAACTCATGAAGTTAATTGTAGAGATCTGTGAATGCATGAATGCAAATGAGCGACAGGTTATTAAAAAAGAGAAAACAAAGGCAAACAGTTGTAGACACCACAGTTTAAGGTCCAGTTTATGGCTTACTGTTGACCTACTCTACTTTATCAACCATACTGGTCGGCTCACTTTTGGTTTTATGTCTAAGTTTGTTGTTAAAGCTTGTTTTGTTGCCCTATTGGACCTTCACTGTAGCAAAGTCACGTTTTTGCACCACACACCCTTTTTTATATTGACAACTTTGTTGCAGACCAGTCAATGGGCAATGGATCACAACTGAAATAATAAAGGTCAAATGTTACCATAGTAACACACACTTACTGCTTCTCTACCTCCTTGGAAGAAGCTTGGGCTCTCTAAAGCTCTCAGAGTTTTTGCTTTTTACTCATAAGTTAAGTTGAGCTAAAGGACAACTATGTAGGATTTGTCAGTTGCCATTTATAATTCTCAATTCAAAGGCTCCTCCTCCTCTAACAAGTGAGAAGAGGTGGTTGTGGAAGCTACAGAGTGAATTAAGAAAGGGAGCGGCGAGAACAAAGCAGCAAATCAGAGAAATAAAATGTCATCTAAAGCAAAAATAATCACAGCCACACCTACACACAACAATACAGGAGAGAGCCGCATTGCTGGATTTTGTGTGAATGCGGCCAAAGCATGTGACAGGACGGACTGATTACCATGTATATTGATGAACTTCTCTTGTTCAGTATCAGTATTTTGTTGTTGTGGGTTTGACAGGGAGTGATGAGGAAAGATGCAGCACCGAAACCATTCAAGGTAATTACCACACATGGTAGAAAATGTCCACTGCTTACAGTATAGTGCTGTAACTGATAGAAATGATGGCCAAAACTTTGAACACATGAAACCAGTTGTGACACAACAGGACTGACCTTCAAGTAAGGTATTTAACCATCCCCTGCTTTAGTGCTACAAGTATACAGACTGTGGTTGAGTGTCTATGAGCTAACTCCTGACACCTTTTTTTGTACTTATTGGGAGAATTAAGGACTTACCTTGACTTGAGAGTTGAAAACTACGACATTCAAGTCTCAAATTACGACAGAATTGTTGGTTTAAAAAGATTTTATACCTCACAGCTTGAAATTTCAAATTATTAGGCATTGTCAAGCAATGGTCAGCATTCAGACCAGGAAGACTTGCATCCTGGCTACTGACTTGGACTTCCCTCCAAAGACCTAAAAACTGCTCTGATACCAGCTAGAATACCTCGTAGTGTGCGAGTTGTATCGTGCTAAATAATGGTTTACCTTGCATGCATCAAGACAGAGAAGAACATTATCGCTGCAGAGATACCTGTCAAGACTTTGCACTATCCTGCGACACAGTCTCTGCGTCTGATTAGCCTTTTAACTGCACTTCCTGGGTCCTATTTCTTCTTTTTACCAGAACCCTGCATAGACATTTCTACAAAATACAGAAAGAAACAGATGACCTGCTCTCAGCCTCCACAACTGTGACCTAGGCTCCGCAGAATTCCCAGTATGACAAAGCCCTGCATCCTCCTCCCCGTTCCCTCGCCCTTCCTCACACACATCCATGTGAATTCCTGGGCCTCGCCAGCAAAGGGGAGATGAGAAGGCTGCTGCTCTCTGACTGTGTTTATCAGAGTCTGGCATCGCTGTAATTTCAGTGTTCAGATGCAATCGCTCCCCACTCCCCTCAGGAGTAAACAATAACAAGCACAAATACAATAGACAAACAAGGCCTGCAGGACATGTATGCAAACACGCGCGCGCACACACACACGTATCTATATGCACACACAGACACAGGCATGCACAAAAGCATACATTTTGGACACACAAACAATAATAAATGCAAAGCACCTTCTGTCTTCTTGTTTTTGGTCTTTATTTGGCAGTAACCGTCGCCAGGGAGCGAAACCTCAAATGTTTGGACTGCATTAACATGAGAAACCGCAAGATCTATCCAAAAAGGCTGGACTCAGATCAGATATTGAATCTGAATGCGGTGGCTCAATTGAATGGAACTAATACAGTAAACCAGAAGAATGTGTTATTTTGCTTTTAAGACACTGCTGGTCCTCTGAGTTTCACTGACATGCAAGTTGTTGCTCAAGAAGGAAAGATGTCAGATTTCTTGTCAGACAGCGCGGCCTGGTGGGCACTTCATGAACTGCAAACCAATAGCTTCAACTGAGAAGTTACAGCTGCAAATGATTAAGAAATGATTTATTGATCCCTGTCAAGAGATTCTTTACCTTTCCGTACACACAAGATTGTCAGAAGTCATTGTCAATTTTGTATTTTGGTTCCTTAGGGCACTAAGGAACTGACGGAAGCTTCAGTGGTGGATGTTTGTTTGGATGTCCTTTGCAAGACAGTTGCTCACAAAGTTTTCTGAATAAATGGCAACAAGGCAGATTACAGAAAAGAAGAAGTGGATTTGATTACTTACTGTCTTGTTGGCCACGCAGAACAGAAAAGGAATTCTGACATTAAACTCAGAAATTTGAGAAAGATTTAAATCAAATATTTGGTAATTTAAGTAAATTTGAGGGAAAGTTTATATGAAATATTTATAACAGAATTCTGACTTCAATCAGTTTTCTGGTGTCAATCTCAGAAGGACACAGGAGAAAAATACCAATCTTGATTTTGGTGGAACTTCACTATACCGTACATACGTTTTCAATTGTCTGAACTCCTCTCTGGACAAATTTTTGCCAACTGAAGACATAACCGAGTTTCCCTCTTTTTATAGTTCAGCACCTTCAGTGGTGCGAATTTCTAAAACCTACAATAAATCTCACCTCAACCTCCTTTTAGAAGATAATGCACAGAAGAGTCGAACATCAGCATCAACCTATGTAGCTATTATTTTAAGTCTAGATACTATCTATAATTTGGTTATTAAAATATCATGATTTGGCTTAAATGTCTTTTTATAGCCTCAAAAAGCATAAAATATAAAAATTAAGTATTTTTAGTATGATAGTATTATATTTTGAATAGACTAGCTCTGCCGTGTTTAACAGCGTGACGGTTTCTTTAAGGTCTGTTTTTTGGTTATATTTTTTGGTTAAACGTTAATAATGTCCCTAAATCTATTTGCACTATATTAAAATCTATTTCTCCTTACCTCCCAATACCACGTATTACTCTCTATCTGGTTATTCATACGAACACTAATCACACAACAAAGGGTGGACAATTATAAGGGATGCAATGATCAGACTTTTTCTCTCCTGATAGATACCAGCACTCTTTTCCTTCATTAAAAATATGTATATTTCACTGTGGAACTTGTAGGAACTGTTTTTATATAAAGTAACATAAGGACAGGGATGAGTAGACGAAACCACATCGGCACGTGAAAAACTACAAATCTTGAGCCATGTCTAGTTTGTCTGTTCTGGGCTACTGTAGAAACATGGTGGTTCAAGATGGCAGCCTTCTGGCTCATTCTAAGGTAACAAAAACAAATCTTATTTTCAGGTGCTTAGACACTAATATATAAACAAACCTATGAATATTATATTCAATTTCCAATAGATGACAATAGATCCTCCTAAGTGTTACACACTGGACCTCTAATGAGGTCAGTATTGATACCAATCTAATGGCTCAAGCATCCATAATAAGTCTTGAAATATACATCAATGAAACAAAAAAAACACTACTTAAATCAAGACCTTCAAGAAATATTTAAAACATTACTGACTTCACAAAAGGAAGCATTTACTGAAGGGATATTTGTGTTTGTATTATGCTGCAGTTTCTGTCATTTTGTCCATCCTCTGTATATTTATTATAACTGAGGATTAGCTTCATAGTACAATCCACATATTCTTTAATAGTATGATCTTCAGCCACATAACAGTCTTGTATGGCAACTACATTTCTAATTCATCTTTTATTTTCATCAAGTAACATGTTCGGAGGATGAAATCCATATGAGTGAAGCATCAAGATTCATCTTTCTCAGTCATCAGCATTTATTGGGAGGAAAAACAGATACAGGAACTGATGAAAGGATGAGGAATCTGTAAGAGGTTTATTTTCTCCATATATTTTACAAATAGAAGCACAAATGTTCATAGACTCTCGACGACACGTGCCTGAAGTACTCTGAAGAGCTATAGGTAATGGAAATGATGGTCTCGCCAGTTTATCTGCAAAGAAAGAAAGAAAGACAGGAAGGTAAGAGCACTGAACATAAACAGCCCCTTCCAGTTGGCTGGGTCTAACAAGCTGACAGTCTGGTGATACTGCACACCTAAAGGGCTTCTAAACTATTATAATCAAAGAATTTATGGTACACATTTCTACATAAGATGCTTGCCAAACTAGCCCAGAAGGGGTCTAACATTACGGTCTACTCTACAATGTTACCTCCTCTGTTAAAACAAGCCTCAGTTCCTGAGTTCAGCAGAGGGTGAGGAGATTAGGTCAGAGAGGAGAATTAGACACGAGAGAATGTGACAGCTTTTGGAAAACAAGACATGTATGGTTGAAAGAGAATCTTTTGCATGAGAGAATAGAGAGAAGTCTCCAAAAGGTCAGAGAAGTTAGCGGAGTGACGGAGGATAATAATAAAAAGGGGTGAGTCACTGAGAAAAATCTGGAAATGAACGAAGGACAGAAATGTGGAATAAAAGAGAGGGGGAAGAAAAAACACAGCAGACAGTGAAGAGACTTACAGAGCAGCAGCACCAGAGATGATCTCAATGAGCTCCTTGGTGATGACGGCCTGCCTGGTACGATTGAAGGTGAGGGTCAGCTTGTCAATGATATCAGCTGAGAGGAGAGGGAGAGAAATCAGTCACATGTCAAATGTAAAAACACTGGAGGAGGGAAAAATCTAAGAGCATGGCTCAAACTTAAAATCATAAGATGTGTAAAACTATCACTACGTGTAATTATATTCCATTAAAGTTGAGTGAAAGTGACAAACTAATAAGGAATATAGAAGCAAAACTCTTCTAAAATCCAGTAAAGCAGCAGTTCATTTGTTTAGTCAGTCCAAAACTAAAACATAATACAGTTAACATCTGAGTAGCTTTTGCTTTAATAACTAAACAATAGACTGACTGCTATAATTGTTGGTAATTATTGGTAATTATTATCATCTTCACACTGAAGTTATCTTCTTCTAGATCATTTAACTGCCTTAGTATTTATGGGCATTCCTCTTAGCTACTAAATTATAGTTATTTTATTATAACTCTAACACTTTAAAACTTGGTCCGATATTTGTTCAAGCAAATCATCCGAGCTTGATTGTGCCACGTACAGTATTTAAGAGTGATGTTCTTATTGCATGTATAATCTTCCATGCACTAGCAGTCTGAACAGTCTTACACACTGTAGCAAATACCAGAAATATGTCACTCGAGTGGGCATTGGGTATTGGGATGGACCCCTAGTTTCCCCAAAATCAGTTTGTGTCAACTACTTCCTGTCCTACCTCCCTCACTAGATAATCAAGTTGTAGGAGAAACATATGAGGAGATACTACATATCAGCGCATCCTTTCTTAAAGTATCTTGATGTGCCCCCCAATTCCTGAAAGTCGAGCGTCTTACAGGCGTTCTTGCTGGCGTTGTCCATGGCAGTCATCCTGGCACTCTGCTCACTGGTGGAGGACTCCTTCATGGCCAGGTAGATGACATTGACCAGAGAAAACTCCTGGTAGTTCCTCAGCACATCAGCATCAATATCATCATAGATGCCCATGGTCTCTGTACACAGGAACACAGATGATCAGTATATATCTCTGGCTGGTAAAACCTGAGGATGTGTGTAAAGACTACTTCCAAATAAAACAAACACTACCTGCGTTAGCAACGGAGTCTACAGAAAACACGGGCTTGTTGTCGGTCTTGTATGAGATAACAGACCTGCAGCACAAAAAAAAAGGGACATTTATTGTTCATCTCTTCGCTGATGCAGCTTGCAAACACAAATTCAAATTTTTAAGTAAATATCGTACCTGAATCTGTTGAAGATGACCGAGCCCTGGTCGAATTCATATCCACAGTTGAGCAGCTCGGCGGCGACAATCGAAGCGTCGGTGAAGCTGGGGGGCTTGCGGCCGACTTCCTTACAGTTCAGGAGGATGTGCTTTCCATGAGTTCTGATTGGGAATAGTAGGTATTGTTGGTACGGTACAATAATCGTCAGGGGCACACGTCAGTCTTTGATGTACGTTTAGATTTTGTTCTATATATGAATTGTGACTTACAGGCATTTCCATGCCCATAGCCACATTTTAAAACAGTTCTCATGAGAAAGATGTAATGAAACTCGGATTTAATTCGTAGAACGGACTGTGAAAACTTGTAGATAAAGTTATGTATCAAAAACTGCCCAATAATCCATTAGGATTTGACTGGTTGAAGCATGCTGGGCTTCCCCGTTGTCAGCTTTTATGCTACAAAAGCCAAAAAACACAATTAAAAACACTCGTGAAATAATTCCTGTAACACAAACTTCAGCATAATAAAATGATTTAGGGAATTTACAAATCATCTTATTTATAATAAGGAGCTTGTTATTCTGAACCCCTTAAAACTTAAAAACAAAACCCCAGGTAATATAAAAGCTGCTCAGTAAGTCTCAACACTGGACCGGACTCATGTCTTTGAATGGGCTCCATTTCCACGTGTACCTGTGCAGCAGGCCTCTCAGCTTGTCTCCCACATTGATCACCATGACCTCCTTGCCAGCACCGGTCAGGGTGGCGATCTCGCTCTTGATGACCTTGGCCACGCCAGAGTGGATGGCGCCACAGAGTCCACGGTCGGAAGTCACACCAATGAGCAGGTGCTTGGCGCTCTTCTCCTCCGGCGCTTTGATCTCGGCCTTCTCGTACAGGGCTGGAGAGCAGAGAGGAAACGGCGAGAGAGTCTTAGTCCAGTGTCAAAAAGATGTTAACACTATAGAGATTACACAGGAGGCACATACCCAGAGCGCCGGTGCCGTAGACTCTGGCTGGCTTCAGCTGCCTCTCAGCGCGAGCATACTTGGCAGCGGCTACCATCTTCATGGACTTGGTGATTTTCTGGATGTTCTTGATGGACTTCAACCGGATGGTGACTAGAGAGAAGAGAGGACATTATATTATTGTATTAGTCTGAAAGCAGCACGCATTATACACACAACTGATTACTATTCTCTGTTTCCTGCTCAGAGACTACAGATATTAATTAAAAGCTGTGCATTATCCCTGTCAAATAAATTAATACAATAAACTAAATAAATCTGCTATATACTAATCACACACTTAGAAATCCTTCTTTAAAAAGAGACACTTTGTTGATCACTGACAACCTTTTGTATATCATTAAGACAGCTTCAGGATCACTTTGTCTTAAATCACTTTGTTCTTCGGTTGCCTGCATAACGACCTTCCACCAAAATAGACGACAGTGGACGGTCTGATCTACTTAACATCTCTAAAACGGTAAATTAGTCGGAGGAACCACTTAAAGCTTTGCACAGGATGTGTAAATGATACCAAAATCATGTTCTGAAACACACTTTCCTGCAAACAGGCATTAACACTGTAAAGACTTGCAACATTTACACAGCTGAGTCAGACATTTCCCATAAAAAAGGCACCAGATTTTGCAAGAAACCATTCAGATTTTTCATCAGCAGGACATTAAAGTCTGTTATATGTTGTTATGCTGCTCATATTAAAAGAGTTGTACACAAAAGTACTTACTGTCCTTCAAGGTAGCCATGTTCCTGACCTGCCCACTGTGAACACAAAGAGTGCATGTGAGCTTCAGCTGCAAGCATTAACACGTTAACAGCATTATTAACATTAATAACAGCTTTAAAAAAAGAGACTTATGACAAATAACGAGTTAAAACATAAAGAATAACTTTGTTGCTGCAAGCTCTGCAAAGGCCCTACCATCCGTTTGCATTCACAGCTAAACCCCAACCGAATTAACTTAATTATTGATTAACAACTTGTGTAATTAAGTGATTAATTGCTGAAATGGTTTATTCTCTTCACCAGCTTTCAGCACAATGTGGCTGCTGTCATTCATTAGCCGCGGCCTCCACCTTAGCGTGCCCTTGCGTCCAATAACTGCGCATTAAAAGGCTATTTAGATACACACTCAATCACATGAATACACGCTCGGGTCGCACACACACAGAATACACTTTTAAAACGTCGTTGTGAAAGAGTTTGAGCGGGTTTGACTTTACCATTGTGGGGAGAAAACCAACGCGCTGCTCCTGGCGAACATGGTTACTCCGATGAAGGTCAGCCACGCAAAACTGCGCAGGCGCAAGTTAAAGGCAAAATGGACGAATGCTGCCTTCAGGGGGCTGCCAGAAACATCGGAAAGATGCACTTCACACACACACACACACACGAAGGGGTCAATTATTTTATTATTTAAGTTTCAAGATGTTTATTGTCAGATGCAACAAAAGAAAGCAAGTTTCCTTTCTTTCTTTGTTGTCCATCCTCATACCGACATATTAAGTACAATAG